TGGCTGCTGGCCGCCATCTTGGCTGACAGTTAATTTGCATAAGGATATGCTGATTAGCCAATGGGAAGGGTAGCGGTCGTACGCTAATTACCATGTTTCTCTTTTATTAGTGTAGATATAATTAAAAAAATAAAAATTTAAAGGGTACAGAAATTAAATACTATGACTTTAGCAATTCACCTTTCAGTGAGCTACTCAACAAAAACTGGAAAAACCTGAAGTTAATAAAAAAATATACAACTCTCTAAAGTGAAGAAAATTTCATCTTTCATGGATAAAAAGAATAAGTAATAGCAGTATTGGCTAGCTATCTGACCAAAATCTGATCCACAGAATAGACAGACATGGAGATAAACTTTAAAAGAAAATATAATAATTTTAAATATGAAGAGAAAAGAAACATTCCCAATTAAAATGGAATGAAGGATAAGACATTACATTTAAAGAGGAATAAGGGCCAGGAAAATCTATACCATGGGGATACCAAAAAGAGGGAGATGAAGGTAGAACAGGGAAGCACCTAGAAGTCAAAGTGGATCTACTATAGATTTCCAACAAGGCAATGAGCCTAAAAAATGTCTTGTTTGGTAGAACCTTATAGGAGGCAGCTTATAGTAATGACAACATCAAGCAGGCAGTACTTCAAATGGATATGTAAGTAGCAAGATTAACATTTAATAAGATAAGCTGTTTCAGCTTTACAATCAAACAAAACAAATTACGCCTAGCCTATTAATAAAGTCCACAACTCCAATAGATTTTCTAAGCATGTAAAGACTATTCAACCCCTTACCTTTAGGGAAGTCAGTTGATCTGCCCACATTTCTAAGATAGGAACAAGATGCTCAAATCCACAATCTTGATCAAAATCTTTATTAAAATGTTGGACTCCTCCTTTGCTCTGTTTATAAAGTATTACTGGAGCTCTTGGATTGTGAATAATTGAATTGATGCTACTCAGTACCTTAAAAAAAAAAAAAGGCTGTTTTTAGTTGAAATGTTTACCATAGTCCTCTAAAAGTGACATAAGTAAAAGGAGTGCTTTATATGTCAATGTAACATCATTTTCAAATTTAATTTGAGGCAGTCATTAAGGTCTTTAATAAGACCGACACTTGTAATATTCGAAAGTACAATAGTTTCATCAATATGATTAAATATAAGTTCTAATAAGAACCACAGATTTCACAAAAAAACTAAAATGTATTTTTAACTGATGTAGACTTAAAAGTAGTTATGTAGTTATGACCTATTTTAATCCACATAGAGAAGAATCGTCATCCAGATATCCTTAGCTAGAGTTCCACATTTCCCTATTCCTATCTTCTCATATTTAAGCTAATTTGATATTAAATGGGAGCAGTTCCTGATGTTTCACAGCTTCAGCTGAAGTTCCGAGTAAAGATAATGAATTACAAAGCCCAACACATTCTAAAGAGAAATCCTAAAAAACATCATGCAGGTCTTGCTAAAAGGTGATCAAACTGATCCTGGATAGTGACCAGACTATTTAAGAAAATGTTAGCAATTCATTGGACAGGATTTACCAAGATTAATGTATTTTAAAGGAGTGACAGAACTAGTGAGTGAAAAATGCTGTGCTATTTTTCTTTTCTCCCCATAAAAGCTACAGGTCCCTTGAGAATTTGGCTTCTGATGCTTATTTACAAGCAGTTTGGTTTATTGCTTATTTTAGTGCATTTCAGTATGTCACTTCTATTATATTTAAATTATTTTAATACAATTTTAATAGGAAAGTATTCCCTCCACTAAATTATCAATGAGAGCAAGATCTTTAATAAGACTGACGCTTGTAATGTTTTGGAAGTACAATAGTTTCATCAACATGATTAAACATAAGTTCTAATGAGAACCATAGACTTCACAAAAAAACTAAAATGTCTTTTTAAATGATGTAGACTTGAAAGTAGTTATGACCTATTAGAATCCACATAGTCCTTCTCCTCCTGCCTCAGACCAAAAGTAAGGAGGGCAATGGCACTCCTAAAAGAGACCAGGGAACTGATGCTAGCTGAGCTTCAGAAGTTCATAGGAGAGGGAAGGAGGGGAGTAAGGGAGAAAGAGAGACCGACAGACAGAGGCAGACATAGCGACATTGCTCAGTTGCCTCCATATGTACCATGACCAAGATTCAAACCCACAACCTTGGTACGTGCCCTGACCGGAATCGAACCCATGACTCTTTGATACCTAGGACGATGCTCCAACCAACTGAGCCACACTAGCCAGGCTGCCAGATTCACTACCCATGACTCTTTGATACCTAGGACGATGCTCCAACCGAGCCACACTAGCCAGGCTGCCAGATTCACTTTTAAGAGAAGCTACAAATAAGAAGTTAATAAGCAAAATCCCTTAATTTAAGAAATATCAGTAATTAATTTAAAATTTTTTAAAACCCTGTGTAGGTCCAATAAAATAAAAATGCAGGCCCAGTTAAGTCAGTAAATAATCAGGCTTAACTACACATCTAGTCAATAAATGCTCATCTACCTATTCTATAAAATCAATAAGGTAAGATCTCTATATCACACCGCATAGAACATTAAATTTCAGATGAACTAAATATCTAAATTAAAAAAAAGAACCATACAGCCCTAACTGGTTTGGCTCAGTGGATAGAGCATCGGCCTGCAGACTGAAGGGTCCCAGGTTCGATTCTGGTCAAGGGCATGTACCTTGTTTGCGGGCACATCTCCAGTAGGGGGCGTGCAGAACACAGCTTATCGATATTTCTCTCTCATCGATGTTTCTAACTCTCTATCCCTCTCCCTTCCTCTCTGTAAAAAAATCAATATATATAAAAAAGAACCATACAAAGACCTTAAGGAAATTTACTTATATAATAACAATAGTAATCTAATCTAATAAAAGAGAAACATGCAAATTGACCGTACCTCCACTACACCCACAAGCCACACCCACCAGCGACACCCCACCAGCCAATCAGGAGCAAATATGCAAATTAACCCAACTAAGATGGTGGTGGCCACGGGGCTGGAGCAAGCAGGAGGCTTGGAGGCAATGGAGGAAACCAAGCTTCCTGCCTGCCTTGCCGGCCCTGAGCTCCGCTCAAGGCTACAAAGTTTCAATTATAGAAGATAAATAAATCCCAGATCCCTGCTTCCAGCCGCCGTGGCCACAGAGCTGAGCGAGCAGGAGGCTTGGGTTGCCCCCGGCAATGGAGGAAGCCAAGCTTCCTACCTGCCCTGGCCAGACCTGGGCTCCACTCAAGGCTACAAAGTTTCAATTATAGAAGATAAATAA